GCAAGCATTGTTACATCGACACGTCCACCTGTCAGCGGACACTGCAGCCGTGCTAGTTCTTTTATTGGCCAATCTTGATAGCAGCCTCAACAAAGAGGTTGATGTTGGAACACTGGAGAGCCCAACAGAAGAAGCAAGCAGTTTGCTGACCCTTGGAAGGTAGTGAAACAGCGTTATCTGTCAATACCACAAACAGGAGAAAATTCTGAATATTTTGTGCTTCATGACGCACGGCTATCAAGCAGCACATAACTTGCTCAATCATCACTCCGGTCTCCGGGTTTGCAAACTCATTGCAGGGTCACTTTCATGCTTTGAAACGTTTGCCAGGCAGGAATTGGATATACACTGTCCGGTGGAAGGTTGAGTAGCAATGAGCAACTGCAGAAAAGTAAGGGCGTTAAGGGGTTGAAAGTTCATAACAGCAGGTCTTTCTTTCGCACCACCTCTTCATATTTTTTCTGCTCCTTCTAGACTAGCAGAGGTCATTAGATGACCATTTCCAAATTTCTTCCAAGCCACAAAAGATAAGACACAAACTTTCTACACACATGTCTCTTTCGGTTTATACATTCTCATATTCAACTCTTTGATCAAAGAAAAGAAAAACACGGCTTCAACGGAGAAATAAGATGAAGACCCATAGTGTCTGTCCTTGGGCAAGTTCAGATATATATAGCTTCACCCAGCTTTGGCAGTTCACCCAGTTTCAGATATATGTAAACCGAGCGGGCTCTCAAACACACATACATGGAGGTAATATTTTCTGCTGCTATGGGTGAGCTTGCCAGTAGATCCATATCTTTCCTGGTGGACAGATACCTGAAGCAGCGGACAGCGGCGACAAGCGTGGAGGAGAGGCTGCACAGCCTGCAACGGCTGCTACTGCGGCTTCATGTCGTCGTCGAGGAGGCAGATGACCGGCTCATAACAAACCAGGCCATGCTGCATCACCTCAGCATACTGAGACAGGAGATGTACAGGGGCTATTACACCCTCGACATCTTCAGTTGCCGAGCCCATGAAGATGACAGGACAAAAGATTACTCTTTTGCCCCATCTAAGTTCAACCCTGCAAAGCGTGTATGTTTCTGCAGTGGCAACAGTGAAGGTGCAGCACAAGCTGAGCTGCTGGAGAAAGTTCTTGGCAGCATGCAGAAGACCATTGAAGATGTGAGTGAGTTCATCATATTTCTAAACAGTTACCCACGTCTGCACCGTCAACCCTACAACATGTATCTGCTGCTGGACAAATGCATGTTTGGACGCCAAATGGAGATGGAACTTGTGATGAACTTCCTGTTGCAAGCAGAAACTGCTAATGGCGCTGCTGATCATTTGGCTGTCTTGCCAATCGTTGGTCCTAGGAAAGTTGGAAAGAGCACCCTGGTCGAGCATGTATGCAACGACGAAAGGGTGCACAACCACTTCTCTCAAATTTTGTTTTTCAATGGAGATGTTCTTAAAGATGCAAGTGTAGAGACTCTAAGAGATGGAGGTAGAATCAAGCATCAAAACCGTGGCATCAGCGGTGGAAGGACACTGATCATCATTGAGCTATTTCTGGACATCGACAAGTCTGAATGGAAGAGTTTGTATTCAGCTGCAAAAAGTCGCATCACGAGCGGAAGTAAGATGATAATTGTGAGCCGCTCCGACAAGATCGCAAGGTTTGGAACCACAGAACCCATCAGATTACAGTTCTTAACTCAGGAAGCATACTGGTACTTCTTCAAGGTGCGTTCCTTTGGGAGCGCGAGAGCAGAGGACCACCCGAAGCTCGCATCAATGGCCATGGAGATGGCCAATTTGACGAGTGGGTGCTTCATGTCTGCAAACATCATCAGTGGAATACTGAAAGCAAATTTTAACCCCCATTTCTGGAGCATGGCCCTTGCAGCCCTCAGGAATTTGAAGACGACAAACATCTCAGTGTATGGGGATCGTTTCACTCTTCCTTGGCAGATGGCGGAGCCAACATATCTCAGGAGGGTGAACAAAAGTTCTTCCGAATGTGTCGTGTTGTTTCTTGACTACAAGACATGTTCTGCTGGAACTGGACATGAAGCTCTCAGGATGATGAGCGCGCAAGATCTTCTCTTTGGAAGTGTGAGGCTTCGAGGGAAATTCAAGGTCCATGCATGGACATCCCACCTGCCGCCTCACTACAGCTACATCGTTCACTGTGAGGTACAAAGGCCACGTCGCATGGTCACAAGTAACAAGTGTTTTCAGAAGAGTAGTGGCTGATTAAATTGTCTAGTCTTTTATCCAACACTCGAAGGTCATGCATGGTTCGCAGAAACTTGAAGAGAAGCAAGCAGAGTAGGTAAAGGTTGTGAGCTGAGAGCCTGAGACTGTTCTCCTTTCTGAAATACCATATTTTCTCTTCTTTTTGGACCGCTCTGAAGTAGTACAAATTTCACTGTTATTTTTTATATCCCAACTGTAAGTAATAAGCAATTAGGCAAACTGTACGTCTGTTGTTTTTGATCATGTGTACGCTCTGAAGTTCTTTGACTGTTTCCACTTGTCCACCTAATCTTTTCCAACTTGCATGATACCACATGACGAGGCAAAGATGTCCTGATAATACTGAAGGTTATCCTGATATCAATGGTCAATGCATTGTTATTTTATTTTTACTTTTTGACAAAATAGACCGCAGATGGCCACATCAAGTTTGAAATCAAGTCTGCATCCACATCAAGTTTGAAACCAACATTTCAGGAGCCAGACCAAACTTCAGTTGTGAGACCTTTCGGGTTCTACAGTGGTGTCAAGTAAATTTAGAGACGGTGACAAGTCAAACATGCACATTTTTTTGGAAGTAAGAAGTATTTCTGTGGGACCCAGCATTCAGTGCCTGCTGCCTGTGGAGCACTACTGCTCTTGCTTGAGGCTGCAGAGGAGACCTGCCCATGGCGGCGGCCACGGATCATCCCTGGTCTTCCATCCTCCCACTGTGGCCGCGTGTTGCGTGGAGCCTGGTGGTCGGCGACGGCAGTCGTTGTTGCCATAGTGTTGCACGTGGAGGGAGGGGAGGCATGAGGTCGGTGCTCCATGTGAGTTCTCCATTTCGGGTATTTAAATCTGAACTGGTTCCGGTTTCTGTATTTTCTCAACCAAATTTCAGATTATAGCTGTAGGATTTGGACGACAGCACAGAGAAAATAGATAACTTTGGGAGTGATTTTACTCTGATAAATTCGATTACAGAGGAAGGTTGAGGCCGAACCACTAGAGGTGGCAGCCAGGATTGAAACGAATACAATGACTGGCTGCTCCCAACCCATTAAGCTTACGACTGGAAATAAAAAAAAGGTAAAAGTAAAGCTAAAGTGCAGTTAAGCTGTCGTCAAAAAGTTAACACTGATGGTTAGGAAGCCGGTAGTCATCAGATCTAGGAGCATAGCTGGGCGAATTGGTAAGTTGTACTCCCTCCGTCCAGAAATACTTGTCGGGGAAATGGATGTATCTAGACGTATTTTAATTCTAGATACATTCAATTTTATATTTGTGCGACAAGTATTTCCGGACGGAGGGAGTACTTGGCACTGTAACAAAACAAGCTGTGTCTTCCATTCTTCAGAGTTAACTGTTGATTCTTCAGGTTTCAGGTTCGGATCCTGACAAAAAAGCTCTACACTTGGCAGGCCTGCTACTCCAATGTGTAGTGGCTGCGCCATCCACCTCCTCATAAAGCAGCCATCACCAATGCTAATCACCGCCATCTCTCTGCTGCTGCTGCTGCTATTACAGGTATCACATTTCAGTGCACTCCTATATATGCATTTTGATTATTGATTTGACCTATGACACTTAATTTGTCCTACTGAGCTTATATTTCATTATTAGTTGTGAAAGCATTCTGGTAAATCCATTAGTTTCTATCTATCTTCTTCACGGCACCCAGTGTTCAGCGCCTCTCGCCAGGAATCAATCTCCAATTCCCTGTTACAACCATGCGTTGCTCGGTTGCTCCTGCTGATTCACCCTTGTCGTCTTCGGCCCTGTTTGTTTCAGCTTTCATTGCATTCGAATCACCTATGGATTCGCTTCAGTGGCAAAGCTGATTCGCAGTGATAGAAGGCCTTATTTGTTCCAGCTTTGACTGGATTGGAATCACCTATGGATTTGCTTCAATGGCGAAGCTGATTATCAGCTTTGCCACCAAAGTACACTTTAAGGTGCTTCAGCAAATTGCAATGGTCTGAATCCAGATTCAGCTTCATTGGCAAAGCTGATTCGAAATAGCTGTTTGTTTCAGATTCTAGATTCAGCTTCACTGGCGAAGCCGATTTGAAATAGCTGTTAGTTTCAGATTTCAGATTTAGCTTCACTGGCAAAGCTGAATCTGGTCCCTAAAACAAATACAAACAAAGCCTTCCTGCCGTGGCTCGCCCTGACCACGCTGTTAACTACCTCTTGCTTGCCATCACATGCTCTGGGAGTATAGTATTATTGGTTGATTGAATGAACCTTGTACACTGCATGGTCTCAACAATATAAAAACCTCATGGGAAAAGTATTGTAGGCACATGCTTGAGACTGTATTTATCCACCTAATTCGTCGTTTCCTTCGTAATTTAGTACGGAAAAGCTAACAAAAGATGAGTTGGCCTGGCGGATGCATCGAGCACGTACCTTCACATGTGGTTCCTCACCATTATCGGTTTCTTAATTTCTAGATTCTTTTGCTGCTTGTTGAAAGTGGGCAGCTAGTTGGCACTCCTCGGTGGCTAGCTCCTGCAACATGGCAATCAGAACCATATGTATGTTGACTTGACAGTGTACTACTACTAACTGCTCTGTAGTTAGCAGTGTCATACTCTGCACTGCAGGTCATCACTTTCTTCATAGTTGAGAGGTATCACACTGCCACTTTCCGATCTCTTAGCTCAATACTATGCAATTAGTATGTGCATTTACCATGTTTAATTGTGTTTACTGATTTTATCTGTGTACTGTTCTTGTATTGCAGGATCAAGCTCTCAACAATGACTAGAGGGCCGTTGGACTTCTGGATTAACTGGGCCAGCCAGATCGGAGTTCTCGTCAGCCTCGGTTGCCAGATCATCCTCCATCTCTCCGCCAATGTTCGTCGGTGTAGTGGCTCATTTTTGCCAAGGGTTCCCCTCTGGTTGGCATACCAGCTGGCAGACACGACCGCGACATACGCCGCCGGCCAGCTCCTCTACAGCAGCAGCACGCCGCAAGACCACCAGCTCATTGCCTTCTGGGCGCCGTTCCTTCTGCTGCACCTCGGTGGCCCGGACAACATCACTGCATACGCCCTCGAGGATAACATGTTCTGGGGGCGCCACTTGTTGAGCCTTGTTGTGCAGATTGCGGGAGCTGGATATGTCTTCTACAAGCACATCGCCGGCGGAGAGATCTTCCTCACGCTGGCTGCCACCTTGGTGCTGGTTGTCGGTGTTGCAAAGTATTTGGAGAGGACATGTGCACTCTGGTCTGCCAACTTCAGCAGCCTCCAGAGCTCTTTCAAGGTGCAGCCACGTGATAAGCATCACAAGCATTTTTACATTGAGCATCAAGACTGGTGCAATGACTTGGAGGACGAGCTTGCCCTGCAGCGTGCTCATTCCCTGTTTCATATCTGCAAGCGCGGGATAGTTGATTCAGTGGTCGAGGTGGACCCAGATGGCCCGACTGAGGTGGAGTCTGAGGAAAAGAAAATAATCGGGGCCCTTAGGGGGAACCCTGAGCAAATGTGGAGGGTGATGGAGATGGAGCTCTCCCTGATGTACGACATCCTGTATACCAAGGCAGGTGTGATGCACTCTATGGTTGGTTACTGCATCCGTGTCATTTCGCCGCTTGCCATCGCCACCTCGCTCGTGTTGTTCCAGTTGAGCGGCAAAGATAGTTACAGCCAACTCGATGTTGACATCACCTACACCTTGTTGGGCGGCGCCTTGGTCCTAGAGACAAAATCGCTCCTTGGTGCACTAGGGTCAAGCTGGGCGCTTGCCTTCTTGTGTTCCACGCGATGGGATTGGCTCCGGCATTCAGTATTGTGCACTGGAAGATGGCATCAGGTCCGGCGCGCAGTCATTTCATTTCGCCGGTCCAGGCCTGGCAAGATAATTATGAAAGGAAGTTCGAGGGAGTGGTCAGGCACCATGGGGCAGCACAACATGCTGCGGTTTGGTGCCGGACAGGTGGATCCGATGAGTCGCCGACTCGGCAATCTGTTCAAGATGCTGAGGCTCGGTGGGCAGTGGGACAGGAGGTACTACTCGTGTACTGTTGTTGTCCCAGATAATGTCATGAAGTGTGCACAGAAGGTGGGCATCTGGTTCTCACGGGATGATATAAACACAATGGGCTTGCTCAGGCATAATTGGGGTGAATCAGCACTGGCTAACAGATTTTACCCTGGGCTGTACAAGAAATTGGAAGAGTATCATGGAGTTGACTTCCATGAGAGCGTCATCTGCTGGCACATTGCCACCGACTTGATTCTCGCAAAGGAGGAAAAGGAAAAGGAACATTTTGCAGCTGACAAGCGTGTGCAGACAGTCAGGGCACTGTCCAACTACATGATGTTCCTCCTTGTCAACAGGCCCTACATGCTACCAGGCCTTCCTCAAAATTGGCTGCACAAGCAAACCTGCAACAATCTGGACACGATATGTAATGACTATGATCTCGTCGGTTCTCTGGGCGACAGCTTGTGGACTGTGCTCATGAAATTGCTCGGACTGCATCATCACAGGGTCTTGGAATCTTCTGCGCTTGAGAAGAAGCTCGCTGACGTAATACTGGAGTTACCGAAGGGACATACAGGCTCTGGCTCTGAAACTCCTCGAGTCTTGTATGCACGCCGTATTGCTGTTATAATACTTGAGAGCGAGGTAGTAGATGATAAGGTGCGTCTGCTGCTAGGTCTGTGGATCGACTTCCTAGCCTACGCAGCCAACCGGTGCATTAGGGAGTCACATGCCAAGAAGCTTAGCACCGGTGGTGAGCTCATGACCATCGTGTGGCTTATTTTGGAACACATCCGCTATTTAAAAGAAGACCCAAACAAGGAGGGAAGCCATGTATAATTTGGTGGATCGACAAAGAAGGCACAATAAAGGGTCAGGACCATGCGTAGTTTCACTCTACTGATGTGTTCTGTGCTTCAGAAATATTTTCACTTTCTGTAGTATGTATCTTGTAAGCATCTCTCTCTTCAGTTCAGCATCCAACTTTAGTTGTTACCTTGTTTGTGGCTTCTTATGGAGAATACGTTGGAGCACAAAACGCCCAACGGCATTTTAGTTAGGAGCAATGGTTCAGTGAACAAATTATGTTGTGTATCTGTACAGGGTTTTCCTTGCTATGGTGATCCGTAACCAAAATTAGGAAGAATCTTAAAAATGGATGCAGGTCCAAAGGTCTGAGCTGTGAGCACTAGTATGTGCATATCAGTTTTGTGATTCATTGTTCTCCTGAAGATATATTAGCTGAGCTGTTGCATGCTGGTGTTCACAGGGTGAAACTGAATATCACAGCACTTATCGATTATGCACTCACAGTGGCAGAAATCACCTTGTCATCGATTTTGGGTCATGGATTTGTAGGTGCAACGGGGAATATGCACTCAACGGAGAGGTGTGCATATCTGTCGACCGGGAGAGGTTCAGGTCCAGGCAATGAGCAGGAGAATGCAAGATGTTTTGCAGAGTAACTTGGCCATCCTTGCCCCAGGCTCTTCTCATTCTCGACCACCTCTTGCCCTGCGAACGAAGAGCAAAGGCACCGTGAGAATTGAACAGCAGCCCGACAGGCAAATGTTGAGAGTAGAAAGCGCCCAGTAAGGTTCTTCCGGTGACGGTCGACAGATTGAATGTCCTCTACACCAATCATGCATTGAAAATAAAATAAAAGTAAATTCAGAGAGGCAGCTGGTATAGAGAGCAAGTGTTTCCAGCATCTTCGTACTCTGAACAGAACACACACAGGTTTGATCATAAATTGTTGGCTCCGCTTATCCGGACAACTCTTCAGTTGAGGATTGGTGGGATGTCGTACTTAGATCATATGGGACGAAAACAGCGAGGAAACGAGGGATTTGATCCCTGGTCTCTAGGAGGTTCGACGTTCATTTCGTGATTAGATTGGTGGGCGCGGCCTACTTTAGGCGAAATGAGCTCTTTTTTCACTGGTTTTCCCAGTTTTTTTTTCTATGTTCTTCGCTTTTTCATTGGGTTTCTTCCTTTCTTTCCTGGTTTTCACTGGTTTTGTTGGTTTTTCCTTGTTTCTTTTCTCAGGTTTCAATGTTTTTTTGCTTTTCTTTTTTCTTTATTTCTTTCTTGGTTTTCATCGGTTTTCTTTGTTTTTCAATTTCTTTTGCATTTCTTTCTTCATTTTATTTTTCTTTGATTTCGTTTGTTTTTTCAGGTTTCATTTTTGGGTTTTCTTTTGTTTTTCATGGTACATTTTTTGTGTATGTCAAATAAATTTTCTAATACAAGCTTAACATTTTTTAATACATGGTCGTTATTTTTGTAATACATATTTTACTTATTTTCAAATGCTTGATTAACATTTTTCAAATACAAGACTAACATTTTTTGTATACTTGGTCAACATTTTCCTAATACACACTTTTCAACTTTTCTCAAATGCTTGATTTAACAGCTTTCAAATAGAAAGACTTAAGAAAAATCTATACACAGTTAATATTTTTCAAACGTTTGATTAACATTATCCAAACACTTATTCAACTTTTTTAAATGTCTGATTAACATTTTTATATACATGATAGAAAAGTTGAACATTTTTCAATATTTTTTCAATACACATTTAACATTTCCCAAATGCTGGTTTTGCATTTTTCAAATACTTGTACAATACTTTGTTCAGATTCTTAATTAATATTTTTATATACATGATAAAAAAATTAAACAATTAATACACGTTCAATATTTTTTATATACACATTTAATATTTCCGAAATGCTGGTTTAACTTTTTTCAAATACTTTGTTCAATATATATTTTTCACATTTATGATTAAAATTTTCGTATACATGATAAAACAATTAATCATCTTTATATACATGATCATAAAATATTTATCATTGTTTAATACATGATCTACATTTTTGTATACACGTTTAATATTTTCCGAATGCTTGATTGACTTTTCAAAATATTTGTTCTACATTTTCTGCATGCTTAATAATTTGTTTAATCAAATACTTGTTCAACATTTTCAAATAATTGTTCAACGTTTTTAGAATGCTCGATTAACATTTTTTCAGATACTTGTTCAACAATTTTCGGATACATGTTCAACATTTTTTGAATGCTTGATTAACATTTTTCAAATACTTGTTCAACATTTTTCATACACTTGTTCAATAATTTCTGAATGCTTGATTGATATTTTTCAAATTATTGACTAACACTTTTCAAATACTTGCAATATTTTTGAAATTTTCTTGTGGAATGATTTTTGTAATATATATACTCAGAATATTTTAAAGTAGAAATAAAAGTAAAAAAAGGTACAAAAAAACAGAAAAACAGGTTGTGGCCTCCTGTGCGCGTGGGTCGGCCCACTTTGTTCGCCCCCTTGAGCAGTCGAAAATTAGACTCACTGAAGGCGAGATATTGTGGCGCCTGAAAACAAAGCAGGGCGTTTGCGGATGTCATGTGTAACTTTTGCGAAAACAAAGCAGGGTGTTCGCGGATGAAAGGAAAAGCGTATTTAAAGTAAAAGAAGTGGATTTTCATGCAAGAGCCTAGCAATATATGTACTCCTAGGCCAATGCAATAAATATAAAGAAAGAGAAAGAGAGAAGGTACAAAAAAAGTACTAATGTAATAGAAAACC